AGTTATGACGTTTGCAGCATCATTAGCAAGATTTAGTGGAACATCTCCCATGCTGAAATGGGTTTCGAACAGCATTTGCCTCGTGATTCTTGAGAGAAGGGGAATTGCCTCCACGTAATTGCAACTCCTTTACATCTGCGTCCCTTGTTCATACTTTTTGTTGAGGTTTTTAGTGAGTTTGGGGAATAATACCTGTTTCAGAACTTGAGAAATTCAACATGAGGCTCTAAATGGGCAATAAAATGTAAACATTTATGTTTTTATGGATCACTGACTTTCTATTGTAGAATTCTGCATTTTGAATTAAATAATTTATAAGTGCACTTAAAGCGAAGGCAAAAGATTAACTTTAAAATCAGAAATTGTAATTTCTGCTAAAATATTTTCTAATTATACGAAAATACATTTTAGTTATTACATTGCAAGTTTCAACTAACAAGACTAACTGGGATATTTAAATCTAAACTGGGATATTTAAATTAAACTATAGTTCATAGATATTTAAAATATCCGTGGAAAAGTATCCATATGGATATTTGAAAAATCCGGTTACTTAGACAGTCTTTTATTTCGGCATATCAGGTATATTTACAGCACTGGAAATGAAGGAGTTTGAATTTTTAATTTAATTTTTAATTTAATTTAATCAAAGAATGGAATTCAGTTAAAGAAGTTAAATATATTTTTCTCTGTAATATAAAATACAAAATACACTTTTTCCTACTTTCATTTTTCTTCCTACCCCATTTTATTTCAAAAACGGATATAATTTAGTTAAAAAATGAAAGGAACTCAAGAGATTAAAAGATTCATTTTTTTAAAAATTAAAGATGGACGATAAGGTTGGCCTTGCTTTTGTTGTTTATGAAGATAAACAAAAAAAAAAAAAAAAAAAAAAAAAAAAAGGTGGGGAGGTTTCAGAATTAGTGAAAGAGCTCTGTTTTTCAGGTTAAGTTGCTACGCTCAAACCTTGATATGGCATGGGTTCAAAATTCTTGATGTGGTTTGAGATATATGCGCATTTTAATATGCAATGATTCTCTTTCTTCTGTACAGATATTACAGAAAATTAGTGTTTCTGAGAAACTTGTTGCTGAACTTCAGGTTAGACCTTGCAACATCTTGGTATGGATACTCATTTTGCTTATGTTCGTGGACACTGGAGATTTTGGAAATAGAGGGTTGATGCTCTGGAAGAGCTAGCCACAAAACTTCACATTGCCTTAAATCTCTGTGTCATTGTTTCTCGATAGAAGCGTTTTTGCAAAAATGATGCTATCTGTATTTTGAACAAAGAATATCTGGCCTCACTAAAAACACAATGGACTAAAAGTTTTTATTCCTGCAATTTTCACAGAATAAAAGTTGATGATTTTTCAACAGATTTTAAAATAAATCAATTTTGACTGGACATGGAAATTTTAAGAGCTATTTAATGCAATCTGGACGTCTTCAAGTGCTGCGTATAGTTGCGGTAGCAGCGATGATGATGTTAAGCATATTCGTTTTGAGTGAGTTCATCATGTCCAGAAGAGCATTCCCAATTAAGGTTATTGAGTTCCATTTATTTTATTACGTTTTAATTTAATTAATTTTTTTAACCATTTTCACCCATTTTCAGTACTATAGTACACTTGCTTATTTATTTCGTTACTGCTATAACTTATTTCTGTAAGCCTGATGGTATACTTTATGGAACGCGAGGAGGTTAAATTAGAGTTAACAAAAAATCTTTTTTATTTGCTTAAACACATAAACCATTTCTATTTCAAATAAAATAAAAGGATCAATCATTTTAATCCCATATAAGCTCACAAAAAGCTAAATGTACGTTTTAAATTTTATTTAAGAAGAATTTAAGAGGAATGTTTAAGCACGAATCTTATTCAAAATACATGGATACGCTAAGTTCAGGAATCAGTAAGTCATCACAGAGTAAATATCTCAAAATAAAATTTGTTACCGAACCAACAATATTCATTTTTTAAAATTTTTCCTAGTGCGAGAAGGCTTATGAATAATTTACTCCGGAAAACAAGAAACCGTTCGAATATTTCTGAGCAAGTTGATTTAAGAATTAAGTTAAACACTTTTGTGTCAAATATTTCAAAAACATGTATGCGTAAAAAAAGGTACAAAGCATATCCATCATGTCAAAGTCAAAATTTTTTTTTTCAATTAAAATCTTTGATTTTGTTTCTGTAAACTTGGTTATATAAAATCAAAAATAATAAAAATGCAAAAAATTATTAAATTTAAATCTAGTAAATCATTTATCGAAACTTTTATCCATGTTCTTAATCCAGTTACCTTTAAGTTATTTATGTACAATTATTTGTATTATGATTATAGAAAAATATAATTATATTATAGAGAAAACTATTCCTTAAATTGTTCCTCCATTCCTTTAAAAAGGGTCGAGATAAGAAAAAGTTTGGGAAATCCTTGGCCTAGAAGTTATTATTTTCATCATGAGCATTCATGATGATGGATTTCTAATTTTAAGCTGAAGTTGTTTTATGTGATTATATATCCTATAGCTGTTGTACTGTGTGTTATTGTAAATTACAGCGTAAAAATCCTCATTAATGTTTACATAATTTTGGTTGTTTACGTAAAAGGCTACTCAAAGAGGAGGCAAATAATTCGGGTAAGAAGCAAAGGTTTCTCATAATTCAGTAAAAATCGGTTGGTGACAAAATATCGTCCATCACTTTTAAATTTGGACGCCATTACTGAGTCATTAAGCGTTCTGGAATAGGAAATCTCGAAATATTAGTAGAGTTCTTGCTAGGAACTGAACCTCGAATCTTTGCTACCATAGTATGCTGAGCACTCTTTAACTAAATACATGGGTGAAATCTCTTAAAAGGACCTCGTTACCAATCAAAAATGCGGAAGATTCTTCATTTATTTTCGATACTGTAACACGCATTTTTTATTGGAATAATTAAATTAGTCAATCAAAATTTCATTTTACTTGAACTTTTTAAACACATTTTGCTGAAATTGATTGCAAAACTCTCAATATATCTGTTTCTTTAATTTTGTTCAACCAGTAATATATTTTTTAATTCAGTGAACTTTTATTAAGACCACTCTCCAGTGTTCTAGACTACTGCGATCTTATGTGGAGATGGTCTCCTTACAGAGGCGACTCTCCGTGTTATTATTTATTTATCCTTACAGAAATAATGTTCGCTTTCAACAGTGACTGTTGTAACGAAGTGGTTGTCATGAGTGTGATTGTCACAAAAATTGAAAATTTAAGTTAATGAAATTTAGTTGAATTAAGTTAAGAGAATTCAGTTATTAGAATTTAGATAAAAGAATTAAGTTAACAGACTTTAGTTCAAAATTCTATTAACTTAATTTTCATTATTATTTCTGCCGAGAATAGAATTTAGTTAAAAGAATTAAGATAATGCAATTTGGTTTAAATTTCTATTAACTATATAAGGTATTTCTCCCGCCTTCTTACTGTACTTTCGTAGTGTAGTGTTCTGCATGTTGGTCGCGTATTCCAGAGGTCCGTGGTTCGATTCTCGGTGAAGGCGGTGCTCCATTTTTCATCTCTCTGAGCCCCAGTGAGAATAGACCCTGTTAAAAAGACCCAAGTCCAAGCCGAAATCCAAATTTTTAAAATGGTCCCAATTAAAACTAGAATTCCTGGTGGTAGGCGAGGATTCCCACAAGCGTTTTACTTGGTCGGAATGTGTCTCACATAAAGACCTCTCCGACGAGTATGTTTTCATTTAAAAATTAGTAAATGGTTGTTGTGCAGGGTGCTTCTGATCATAAAACTGGCAAATTCAAATCTAGGGAGAAACACGTTCGTATAAACTTTTAAGAAAGATCAAAAGACAGTTGCCGTCAGTTATCCGTAGTGCAGCAACAGCAGCGTCATTGGGCGATTAAATGTTGAATTGTAGTATCAAACTGTACTACAGAAGAAAAGATAGTTATTGAGTATCAAAATATTTGTGGGAGTATTAAAGACTTTTATTCGAAATCTCAATATTTCAGATACAATGTTTATACTTACTCTCTTCTATTTAAAACATTTCTGTACGTTCTGTGTAAGAAGACTAAACACGTAAGAAGATTAAAAGCAATTTTCTATAATATTCTGCAAGTTTATGACTTCAAATAAACGATCCATCAAATACATTTGTAAGCTATTACTTGCGGAAGACTCAGCTGTACTAAAGAAAATAAAAAATTTTAACTCTAAAAGGAAAAAAGGGAGAGTTATATGTGTATATATATATGTATGTGTATATTTAATATCCAATATCGATAAAAACCCCAAAGCCTACATTTTTACACTCAAAATCTACGCTTTAATAACCTAATTGTAGAAAGATACCAATTTCGAAATATTGTTTCATAGCTTGAAGAGAAAAACGTAAAAAATCGTAATTTTATTTTGGTTTTTCGCAAAGGACTGAAATTGAAATAATCAAGTTTTAAAAACTTTAAATATCGTACAATGTAGATTATTGGAAAAAAGTATTTGCGCTAATTGATGGGAAAATGCTACTCCTCTGTTTTCGGGACCGGATGCAGAATGTAAGCATGTATGACGTGTGTTTGAATGTATGTGTGTATAAACGCACATACATACGTATGTACATATATACATCTATTGCATATACATCCATACATTTTAAATCTGGTCCGATAACAGAAGAGTACCGGGAAAATCTTAAGGCAGTCTACAAGAAAATTAAATTATTGATACATTGCGTAACTAAATGTACTGAAATAATTTTGAATATATATAAATATATGTATTATTATGGAAATGTTTCTCAACTTTATATTTAATTCATCAGTCTTGGACGATATAGCTGTTCACAAAGCCAGTTACCGACCACTGAGGTTAAGTTTGAGCGGGCAGAGTAGATCATGGTTATTTGTTGTTCCATAATATCATTGGGGGATATATATGCACATTTTAAATTAAATAATGATTTAGTTACTTGCAAAATATTATTTACAGGTGAAGATGAATGGGTATCGGGTTCTATAGGCTTTTTGGACAAAAATGGGAAAGAGCTGGACATACAGCCATTTTGTCACCCTTTCTAACTGGAGCCTCAGGTCAACGAAAGGTAATTTGATACTTCTCAGAATTATTAACTCAGGGGGTATTATAACCCCTTACATGGACGAATACCGATAATAACTATTATCTTAACTAAGGAGTTAAGTAAATAAAAAATTAGTTTGCTACGAAGCCCTCCAGACAATGCTTATTATGTGAAGTACTGAAGACTTTAAAAAAAAATTAGCAGTTGACTATGTTAGAAAAGGTATAACATCCCAGAAGCTCAAAATAGCTCATCTTGTTCAAAGCTGAAAGTACTCTGTGAGTTTATTCGTTTATGTTTTGGTGAGCTACCTTAATTAAGCAAAAAATGTTTGTTTTCACAAAATGACGAAGTTACAAATCATCTTCTCTTCTTTCCTCAAAATAATACTTTACTAAACACATTTGTTGGTTTTAAAAGGAATTAAATTTATCATAACTGTTTTTATCGATAATTATCTATTTGGTGTCATTTGGTTGGATGTTTCTGGTGATAAATATAACTCTGAACGGTACGATTGTTAGCAATGGCTCACGGCTAGTATGAATTGAGTATGGAGCTGAGTTGGGCCTTTCGTATAAATATGTTTCTGTGTGAGTCCTTTTCCTCTTCTCGTAAATGTAATATCAATTGACAGTTAACGGAGACGGGGATATCATCATTCAATCAAGAGGTTAGGGAGTATTACTTCGCGTCCCCTCATATCTAGCCTTAGAGAATGCATAAATTAATATTGTAAGATATTGTTGTCGTTACGGCTCAGAACATAATTACAAAATTTACATAATTATTACATTATGTTATGTACTCAAATCACTTTACAGCAGAACATGCAATTACAATAATACACATTACGAATATATTTTTACAAGACAACACTACAGAAATTTACAAACGTATATTGCGCGACATTCAAATACAGTAATAGTAAAGAGAGTTCAACTTCTGGAAACAAACTGTGTGAATATTAAATTCTTACTCTAGGCACTGTTTCAACTATCCCCCAAATATGTAAATAAATAAATAAATAATGCAATTAAAAAATTTATAAAGAGACATATGCCAGTTTCGAGTTTTGCAAGCTTATCAATAATCTGGGAAAATTTTTGCCATCAAATGACGATGTTTTACCATAAATTTGCAGAAGGCTTGTGAATTGTAATCAGTGTGGCTTGTCTGGTGCATCTGAGAAATGCTGTGCTGTACTGAGATTGATAAATGACCGATGAGTTTGGCCACTCTCGGCAAATGCCTTCGAGCAAGTGGTCATTAAAGACACAGAGAGAGAAAAAAAGACAGAATTTGTGTCTATCAGATGCATATTTTGACTGTTATTTATGACCATAATTGTTTAGTAAATGATTTTTTATAGTTTTATAGTTCTCTTTTACACGAAAGAGCGTAATATCTTTATGCTACTGATTCACGTAGATTTTGCCATGGAATTTCTAGGTAGCGAAAACAGTAACATTGAAATGTTAGAAAATTGTTAATTAAAGGAAAAAATGGGATATGAATTTTATAACTTGGAGTTTTTGCCCATTTTAAATCTTAAACAAATCTATTTTTTATGTTTAGTTAAATTATTTTCATGTTTTTCGAATGATAATATCCTGTCTGTTAATCATTTTTTTAGTTTCAGCTTGTCTTTATTTATTGATAAATTATTTTCCGAGCGCATATCACAAATTAATTTTGCACACTGTATTTGAAAATAAATTAAACCGGTCGAGGAATGCCAGCCGCTGGAATGTACTAGATCTACCTCTTCATGTCCAAACTATTCATCTTTCTGTCTGACCATCAGCTTTCCCTGAAAGCCATTGCAATGATTTTTGACCGATTGCCAGAGGTCAACAACTGCTGTGCCAGACCCGAAACGAGACGAACTGACAGACGAATCTGTTCGAGATTTCGAGGCCAGCAGTGATAGAAGAGGGTGGACTTTTACGATCCTCTAAAGTTCAGAGATTGAGTCAACTGCCTTTTTTCCAACCTCCTCTTTTCTCGAATGGCTGTAAGAGGCTGCAGCTTTCGAGTTTAAAGAGGGGATATATACCTATGAAGAAAGAGCATCTAAATATTGTATGTTTCTTTTCGATATTTGCTTGGAAGATTTACGTTTCAGTATTATATGAGTAATTCTTTATTAAAAATAGGAGAACCTTGTGTAATTTTTAGAATGCTTAGTTTGTTAGTAATAAATTGAGTGTCTCTTAGAAAACAATCAAAGTTCTAGCTAAAATATTCATATGTTTTATTAATTAGTGAAATAATTAAATATTTCACTAATTAATAAAATACATAAGTGTTTAGTTGGAATTTGTTAGATTCTTTTCAGATCTTTTCGGAGTGGGTCTATGTTAATAGTAATAATTCGCAGTATACGTGAACAAGTGAAGTCATATACGAAGCTTAATATACATACATACAATAAAACATTTATTTGAGTTGAGCAAATATTATTTCTGTCAATGCTAGCCGGCAACTTTTTTCCACTAATTAAAACATAATTAAACGTACGTACGTAGTTTGTTAGTAATAAATTGAGTGTCAAAGTTGTTCCATAACATAAAAATTCTCATAATCTTTAATTATTTGTAGAATTAAATTTTAGAAGATGTGTTATATTTTTCGCTAAGAAATATTTGGATGTAAAACAAAGTTTCGGAGTCAAAAAGAAATATTTTCTTACATGAAAATGGTGCCTCGTACTGTTAACATCAATCTTTTAAAACTTCTGATGTCCACGAGTTGGAGTTATTTATTATGGTACAACTTGCAAAGGTTATCGATAGTTGTTTACGTAAAATGAAGGATAGCATTGTGAAAAACTTTCAATCTGATATTTATGAAATATATGATTATCATACATGAACTGATACTCAAATATGGAATAAATTTCTAAAGCAATGCGTATCTTTGCATGAAAGAGTTCAGTTTTAGATTCTCTGAATTCGGACAATAACGGACGACATGAATAATTCTGAAGAAAAGTAAACTAAAATATTTTCAATGCAATTCAGCATTCAACTGAGTATGCCATTAAAGTTTTAATTTTATTTTTGCATGCGTTGCTTAATTTATAACTGTGATAAAAATTTCCTCCAGTTATATATAAATAGTCTTCGTAAGAATAACCTTAAACAGGCTACATCTTTTCTATATAATACAAAGTATTCCTGTCAGATAGCTTATGTTCTTTCCTAGATTATTGTAAAAATACTTATTATTTTTAATGTTCTCTTTCATATTATAAGGTATTTTCTCCTTCCTTTCTGCATGCTATTGTGGTGTAATAGTAGCACACTCGGCGCGTAATCGAAAAGTCCACGTTCGAGACCCGGCGAGGGCATTGCTCATTTTTCACATCTCCCATATAAAAAAAACTTAAAGATATATCTCCCATATAAAATTATCTCCCATATAAAAAAACTTAAACTTACGTCAGAATGTCATGAAGTATTTTTATAATCTTGTCAGGGTCTGAGCCTCTTAGTTTTATTCTGGGGGAAAAGTACGTTATTGGTATAGAAATCGTATTTTAATGTCATATTCCACGTTATTTATGCCAAAAAATCTATGCTGCGTTTATTCATTAAATGCTTGCTTTTGAGCTCAGTAGACATATTCTTCAAATGCTTTATTTATAATGCTGTACTTGCTTTTGCCTTCTTTAAATGCTTAATTTTATTTATTATAAAACACTTAACAATTTTAACTACATTTAATATGTATAACTCTAATTTAAGTTCATAATTTCTAAACCGCATTTATGAAAATTATTTGAAATTTTCAGTGGTTGAAAAATAGTTCCAACTGACGTGACATAGTAATAATCTGCAATCAGTGATTTTGTTTTTAAATCATATCAAATTCATCATCGGAATAATTATTACGTAATTGCATATCAAAGTATTTGAGATGGAAATGTGCATTTTTTTGCAGCAATGACTTACTCCAAGTTACTTCACCATCATTTTGTAAAAGAATTAACCAAAAATTCTTTGAAATAGTTCATGAAATGTGCACTTAATACTTAGAACGAAGAAAATAACTTACTGAATGATTCTGACGGACAGTCGCGGCAGCCAAAAGCCGTTCGTTGTCAGCTCGTTAATTTGCAGTTATCGTAAAATAATATTCTTCTAAAAGATGTCCAGTATTTGAAATGAAGTTGTTAAAAATAACCTTAAAGTTTTTTTACAGTAAAGTTTTAGAACACTTTTTCTTACGTGTATTTACATGGCACATCTTTGCGCAATCAACATAGGGGAAGAGAATGGATAACCTATGTTGTATTCTTACTTTGCGCAAAGTAACTGAATTGTTTTCAGAACAACTGAAAGCTTGTTTTACATGGAAATTTATTTCACAGTACAGATGACTATCTCTTTCAGAGGCGATAGATAGCATTTCAAGTAGTTGTTAGTTTATTTTTATACGGGCCCTCGACTCTCGAGCGTCAATCGTTTCGTGTCCGAGAATTTAAGGCCCAAGAGCTCCAATATAGGGGAAGTAGGGAAAAGCAGGGGTATTCCAAGAATGTAGTTGTCTGTGATTTGATGTGACCGTGCATCTACAAGCCCCTCTTCCCTATAGAAAAGGCCGCAAGTGGCTATGAAAGACTAAATGGCCGCTTCAGCCGCTACGTGTAGCTCCTGCTAATGTCGATAGTGGAAGTAACTTGTTACAAAATCGTACTGGTGGCCACATGCCAAAATAATCCTTGTAGAAATAAAAACTACTTGAAGAATGGTATGTAGAAGCCTTTGTTGCAGTGTTTTTCTAAAAATCAAAGAAGTCAAAGATGCGTATCACGACTGATAAATAATCCGATTCAATATTTATAGTATAGAAGTAACACCAACGGCAATTTGAAGTAAAAAAACTATAGAAACCACAATCAATGATTAAAATTCGTTATTTAATTAATAAAAATAGTATCACGAAAATATTTAAGATCAGATGAATTTCATCAACATATTGGTCAGATGAATTTAATTTTAGAGTAAACATAA